TACTCCCCTGTCTGTCTATATTCATTTGTTGTCTTATACTTAGATTGTAAGCTTTTTGGGCCAGAGACTCTCTGTGTTGTACAGTACCTAGCACAATGGGTACCGGGTCAATGCCTGGAACTCTTAGGAGCTACGGCAATACAAATAATAAATCCTGACCATTGTGCTTTGTGGTGTAGTTTTTTTAACTGGCTATATCAAATCATTAATAATTTACTTTTTTGTTATATTACAATAATTTGTAGTGTTATTGATTACCATGATGCTTGCATGTATTACTGGTATATTTGATTTTGGGTACTAGGGCCTTGATCCTGCTCCCACTGAAGTCAATGGGTTTTTTCTGCAATTTTCTTGAATAGGTCAGGATCTGGCCCTAGATTTGTAATAATTTGGCTCAATGTAATTAAGATGTTTTAAATGGTTTTGGCACTTCATTGTTGATTCACTTGCTGTCACTGTTGAGCTGTTAATACTTCCTATCTTCCAATACAATGAAGATGATTTAAATGTAATGGTGCAAGAATGGTCTGGAAATGGGAATAAAGCTATGTTTACACTAGAATAATAGCCTCAGATGTAGCTGCATCAGTGTATACCCCTAGTATAGACATAGTTTGCACCAATGCATCATACCCCAGTTTCACTTGGTGCAGCTACTCATGTGGGTAAGATGGCAGTATAGACAAAGTTTGAGTCAGCAGACCTAGGGTGAAATCGTGGGCTCACTGAAGTCAAAGGGTGCTTTGTCCTTGACTACAGTGGAGCCAGGATTTCACCCCTGGTTTCTTTGTCCATTGTACCATTGAATCACAGGGTTTAATCTCAGTTGCTGAAAAAAGACCATGGTTTGTCCTTATCTACATTTGCAGCTGAACCACATTTAGTACCAGTTCACCTGCACCCACTGCTGACACAGTTAGCACAAATAGTTCAGTTTCTTAACATGTGGAAGGCCCTTGTGGGTACCTCTATGCAGCTCACAGCAGTGAGCCTCCCAGCCTGGGTTGGAAGGCTCAGGCTACTGCACTAAAAATAGCTGTGTAGGCATTGTAATTCCAGCTGGAATTCAGACTCTGAAGCCCACCTCGTCCCCTAGGCCTCAGAGCCTGAGCTCCAGACTGAGCCCCAACTTCAAAACAATGTCTAACCAGCTATTATTAGCACTGTAGCATGAACCCCACTAGCCTAACTCTGTCAATCTGAACTGGGAGGTTTGTTGCAGGCTGTGTAAACATACCCTGTATCATACTGAAATAGGAAGAATGATATTTAACCTCCTTTGTAAAGCACTTATATAAATCTCCATAGATCTCCGAGCACTGGGGATTATTGTCCTTAAAAAAAGAAGAACATTTGCACTTCAGAATTTATACTATAAAAGAAAGTGTGTGTGTGTGTGTGTGTGTGTGTGAATGTTTGTGTTTTAATTCCAGAATCATTTCATCTTGTTTGATATGACTATCATTTAAAAATATTACATATAAAAACTGGCAGAAATTCACACAGAGAAGGACTAAAGGAAACTCACTCCACACTTCAACGGATAGAAACAGCAGGAGCCAAAAGCGTTGCCAGGTAAGTTTCAGTGTGTATTGAAACATTTGTTTTCCTACATGTATCCCTGTTCTAACATGAAACTACTCACTAATACCCTATCATCCCTTCTGAGCTCCCTGGTAAATTGTATTAACCAATTAACACCCAGTTTATCCTTACAGCCTAGTGGCTGTACCACTTCCTTGAACTATTAACTCTGCATTTATGCTATTAACCCTCTTAAAGCCCCATTTTACATCAATAAAGTCAATGGGAATTTTTTCCATTTGACTTCAAAGAGAGTGGGATTGGGTATTCAGTTTTAAAAAACCTGAACAAGTTTAGAAGAAAACTGAAAAGGTAAAAGAAAATGTATATTAGATATAATTTTAGAACAATGCTATACTCAGATAAAATATTTTAGTGCACACTGGAAGTGTACTTGAAAACAGTTTTTAGTCTTCTGCTTTTACCACTCATTAAAGATAAAGTCCCATCCAATGGAAATTATGCCTAAAGCACATAATCAAGAATCCAGAAATCAGAGCTCTTTCTCAACCTGTCATAGATCTCCTGTGTGATCCAGTGCCTCCATTTTCCCAGTATAATGGGATTAATAGTACTTTCCTATTTCACAAGGACGCCGTGAAGCTTAATTCACTGATATTTGTGAAGTACTATATCTTTGGGGAGACTATAAAGGTGCAAAACATTATTGTTCATTATAAAAATTATTGAGCAGGCATTTAAAATGTCTTTGTTTGTGTGTATAATCATGTAATTGTTCAAGGTTTAATTATGAATTTACTAGAGTTTTCCTTTTAAAAGGACTGTTTGGAATAGACATATGGTTAGAAAATGTAATTCTTATGTAACTGTATTTTTTCCTCTTGTGCTGTGTATGACTTCTGTGGTATCTTGGAGAGAACAGTAATGATGTGTGAAAAACTCCTCAATACAAGATTTGAAAGGGGGAGAAAAATGTCAAAACTGAATTTAGATGATGTACAGTTATAACTTTTACCATGATTACAGTTGAAGAAAGATGTGGAGATAGGGTTCTAAAATGAGACTTGTAAAACATTATTAACTGAACAGATTTTTGCAGAGAGAGAGAGTGAGAAAGTCATTGTGTCTCGCATGATAACTACAAGGAAGCCAGATATAGTTGTAGAATTTGGTTCCTATAGTGATACTTATTGGAACTACTTTTATTTGATAGAGTAAAAGGTATTTTAGATGCTAATGGTTGCAGCAGTAGAGAAAAATATGTTTTCAGCAATAGCCATTGGATATGCAAAGCTATTTAATATGATATACACCAGTGGTTCTCAAACTTTTTTTGTGTGTGGACCACTTGAAAATTGCTGAGGGTCTTGGCGGACCACGTAATGAGCTTTCCAAATGTTGTTTGTACTGTTAGGGAAAAAGGGTTCCCCTCCCGTCTAGGGTTAGGAGGGTAGCCTTCCCTGGACTTCTGTATTAGCCAAACAAAACACAGAGTCTTGGCTCTTTGATAAAGTGAGGCACTTTATTGCTAGCAAATACGACAGCTGAAGGGCTCACCAATTCCTTTTCAGAGGAAAATGGTGAAGCCCCGAACAAAGAACAGGGATGAGCTTTTATAGCTTGGTTCAGCATACATTGTGATATCTCTTCCAGTTCGAACCGGTTAACCCATTCTGTTTGAAGTTCTGGGGTAGGTACGAGCATGGAGGCTTATCTGTATAAGGAATTCTCTTCCCAAAAGCAGGGAGTGCAGGTTACACACAGTTCACATTCTTTCTATCCATAAACAAAGTAGAAAGGACAGATAAGCATAGAAAAAAGACAGCAGCGTAGCTTCACATGATTATAGGGTCGTTTTCTGGGTTTTTTTCCCTATCAGTTCCCCCCTTTGAGCCTGAAGATAATTATCTTACATGGCTCATTATTTATTGTTTAACATGTTCATATGTTTTTCATCTTGGTTAACACCACCCTTCTTTACATATAGTATCTTTGCTGGGCTCATGGTTTTGGTACATACCCGGTGGAAGAGGGCACAACAACTGGACGCACAGCAGAACAGCAGACCCACAATTATAAGGAATCCCACTCCATACACAAACAAGGTTTTTAGCCATCCAAAGTTAGGCAACCAGCTGGTGAGCCAGCCCCACAAGTCAAAGCCCACACTGGGAGAAATAGAGGCCTGCTTATGAAAGAAGGCTGACACGTTTGCAATTATGTTAGTATCTGTGACTATGCGTCCACTTTGATTTACATAAAGGCAGCATGTGGCATTGAGAAATGTGCACACCCCTCCCTGTGCACTTTAAAAGCTGATCCAGGGCCAACCTGTTTTGCATACTGTAGCGAGCTAGTGAGCTTATTTCTTCTTGCAAAGCTTGGATTGCATCTCGAGTGGCGTTAGTAAATATTTCCATTTCGGCTGACATATTTTTTAGCGCGTATTCAAGTTGGCCCACCCCCACCCACGGAAAAAGAATACGGAAGGCGCGCATGCCTGTACTGCCTTCCTCGACAATAGGATTATAACTGGTATCTCGACGGGTTCGTCGGGTTGTGTCTCTGATTTCTATTAAGTCTCTACGATGCATCCCTCCTGGCCAGGCAAAGGCCACCGTGCATCTTCCCAACCACTTTGGGGGCAAGGTCTTTCCTGCCCAAGTGCTACATACCCACCATAAGTGATGATCTCCTAATACTATACTATAGTTGCCTTTATTGCCCCCTGAGTTCTGAGATACTTCCTGCAATCGTCCCACCAGGGATGCAGCATCATCAGGATTGGGTCCTATTCCCCCCCATTTCCATAATGTAAGGCCGGCAAATTGAGTCGCATTTTCTCTGAGAATGTACCCCACATAGCCTCCAGCACGGGCATAGTTGGCTACCTCAGTACCATTGGGATACAGCAAAAGAGTAGTACTTGCATTGTTTCCCAAAATTAGAATTTTCTCACAGTGGGTTTTCGGGTATTTTCCCAGAGTAGTTTTGCCTCGGGTGCATAGCGACCTTTTTTCTACGCACAAGGGGGCCTTAACGAGCAAGTCTGGGCGATGGTTCGGGATCCAGGTCCTAAAATCTATGGGTCCCCTTCCCCTTTTTCCCTTTTGGCCATACCACGCCAAACCATTTTGCCAAGAATTGAGGAGCGCTGGAACCGGCAAAATGGGGAACCCTTGCAGTGAATGGGAAGAGAAGTGGGAACACACCCAACAGTCACTAACATTCCATGCGTTGGTTAAATTTTGGGCTAATTGTAGAAACGTATTTTTATCCCAACCCCCCAGGGCAGAGGTCCAGGTTAACGCCCATAGCCATACATACATTATAAACACTACCAGCTACTAACAACTCTAAAAAAATAATATTAATACAATATTTGTAACAGTATACTAATACTCCAGAGTTCTGTAACTGCTTTTGATTCTGCTGATTGACCGGTACCCAGTTCATGTAGAAGCGGCGGTCGTGATGGGAGTCGTTGGGGATGTTGGAGCAGGAACCTTTTTACAGTGGCTGCAGTGCACCCATCTATCGATGCCCTCGACCTTCACTGCAGTTGGAGTAGTCAGAAGGACTTGGGCCGGGGCCGACCACCTTGGTTCCAGGCAATGCTTCCTTCGATGGATTTTAACACAGACAAAGTCTCCTGGAAAAAGAGAGTGCGCACAAGTATCAAGCGGTAAAGGTTGGGCATCTTTTACTCTGGCCCATGCATCACTCAAGGCATCTTGCAACATGCGACAATAACCCGCCAACTTATCTTGCCCAGCCATTAATGAAGTTTTTGCTGGGGCAAACCCGTCTACACTGGTTAGTGGAATCGGCAAGGGTCGGCCAAATAGAATTTCGAACGGTGTCAACGAATGCTTCCTATGGGGTGTATTACGAAGATTGGTTAACACTATGGGTAACACTTCAGGCCACTTTAATCCAGTCTGCTCGCATAGCTTTGCCAATTGGGTTTTTATTAGCCCATTCACCCTTTCTACTTTTCCTGAACTTTGTGGATGATAGGGGGTATGCAAGGCTTGTTTTATGCCGAGGGCCTTTGCTAAGTGTTGAATAATTTGGGAAGTGAAATGGGGGCCTTGGTCACTTTCCAAACAAGTCATTATCCCGAAGCGGGGCACTATCTCCTTGAGGAGACACTTCGCTACGGATACTGCATCTGCCCTTCGAGTGGGGAAAGCCTCAACCCACCCTGAAAAAAGATCAACCAGGACAAGCAAGTGTTTTAGTCCTGTCACTGGTGGTAAGTCCATGAAGTCCATCTGGACCACAGCAAATGGGTACTCAGGCAGTTTGCAATGTCCCATAGCTTGTGGTTTGACTGCTCCTTGGTGATTGTACCGTTGACACAATTCACACTGTGCAGTGACGGTCTTCGCAGCTGCATGGACCCCCGGAGCAAAAAACAACTTCTCCATTTGAGCCACTAATCCCCCCTTTCCCAGGTGCGAGGCCACGTGGAGTGCCTGGGAAACCTGAGGGAGGAGTTGTCTTGGGAGAACCGGACGACCATCCGGGCTGACGTAGAGGTTGTCCTCATTTAGGTGGCATCCAATGGATTTCCAACGGCTAACTTCGGCCGGGGGCGTCGTCTGCTGGGCAGAGAGCAAAACGGCTGGCGTCACTGGTTGCAGTAGCAGGGGTGCCAAAAAAGGAAAAGGGGCTGGAGCCCCACAGAGGGCAGCATGACGGGCCGCCGAATCGGCTGCAGCATTTCCCTTGGAAACCTCGTCCGAGGCGCGGGAGTGGCCCTTACAGTGTGTAACCGAAACAGCTGCAGGAAGTTGAATAGCCTCTAACAGGGCAGAAATCAAGGCAACATGGGAGATCTGAGAGCCACTGGAGGTAAGGAACCCACGATGCTTCCAAAGTTGTCCAGTAGAGTGGCATACTGAAAAGGCATATTTGGAGTCAGTATAGATGGCCACAGTTTTGTTTTCGGCTAATTGACAGGCCCTAACAAGCGCCACGAGTTCTGCTGCTTGCGCTGACTTTTGTGTAGATAAGGCATGCGCTTCAAGCGTTGCCATCAGGGTAACAATTGCATAGCCAACTCGTAAGGCCCCAAACTCGTCCCGACAGGCGGAACCATCACAAAATAATTGGAGGTCAGGATTCTGCAATGGAATATCAGAGAGGTCAGGACGAGGTGTGGAGATCAAATCCACCACGTGGAGGCAATTATGAGGTTCCCCATCCTCAGGCAGAGGCAAAAGGGTTGCAGGATTCAGGACTTCGCAGCGGCGTAGGGTAACAGCCTGATTGGCGAGCAAGGCCAATTCGTACCTGGTCAGTCTGCTGTGAGGTGCTGCGTGGATCCACGATTAAGAAGTGCTGCAACGGCATGAGGCACTTGAACTAGAAGAGGGTGGCCCAAGGTAAGCCCCGAAGCTTTCTCGACCAACACAGCGGCAGCCGCAACAGCGCGGAGACAGGGCGGAAGACCCTGAGCCACTGGGTCAAGAAGGACCGAAAAATAAGCCACCGGTCACTGGCCAGGCCCAAAGGGCTGAGTTAGCACACCAGACGCCGTGCCAGATTGTTCATGGCAAAATAAGGTGAAAGGCTTTGCGTAATCCGGTCTGCCCAGGGCTGGTGCAGAAGTTAATGCTTGTTTGAGGGCGGTAAGGGCGTTGTTGTGTAGAGTCGTCCATGGTAAGGGTCCGGGAACGGAATCCAGCAGCAAATCGGTGAGGGGGTGCACTAACTCCGCATAAGCCGGAATCCAGGCTCTACAATAGCCACTTGCTCCCAGTAACTGGCGGAGTTGCTTTTTAGTGGTAGGCCTTGGCATACTCAGAACGCTTTCAGTCCTGTCCTGAGTAAGTGCAGCAGAAGCATATGAAATACGATGCCCCAAATATTCCACCTCGGGTTGGGCAAACTGTAGCTTGGAGAGTGCCACCTTGTGACCTTTTTCGGCCAATGCAAAAAGAAGGATTCGAGTGTCCTGTACACAGGCAGCCTTGGCTGTAGAGCACAATAACAGATCATCAACGTATTGAATCAAAGTAGAACCCATAGTCAACGAAATAGAGTCCAGATCTCGCTTTAAATACTGGCTGAAGATGGTAGGGCTCTCCCTGTAGCCCTGAGGGAGGCGGGTCCATACGTATTGACATCCGTCAAAGGTAAAGGCAAATAGGAACTGTGAGTCTGGGTGCACAGGGATGCTGAAAAATGCTGAAGACAGATCAATCACAGTAAAATAAGTAGCCCCTGGGGGAATAGCAGTTAAAATAGTTGCTGGATTGGGAACAACCGGAGCTCTCGGGATCACAATAGCATTAATCAGTCGGAGGTCATGCACGAAACGGTAAACCGGTTTGCCATCGGGGCCAGGCTTGGGTTTCTTAACAGGAAGAATAGGTGTATTGCAAGGGCTGGTAGCCTCCTTAATGATTCCTTGAGTTAAAAGCTGTTGTAGGACTGGCCGAATGCCCTCTATGGCCTCTTTAGGCAATGGATATTGCATTTTTCGGGGCAGAGGGATATCTGTACGGTAATTGATATACACCGGTTCTGCTGACTTTAAAAGTCCAGTTTCAGTGGACGCCGAGGCCCACAATGCTTCAGGAATATCAGATAACTCAGCAGGGACAAAGGGGGCGGTGGGTGTAGTGGCTAACAATGCCATTACCGTAGCTTCAGGGACCGAAGTAGGGACTGAGAGATATAGCCCCTCCGGGCTGCAAGTTATTTCCCTATCAGTACTGTTAGCTAACTATTGTAAAATGCATTGGATAAAAGCGCTATATTAAAAAAAACCTTAAACATTTTTTGTTCTACAAATAAAAGCACACAACTCATGTTTTAATATCAGTAGTCTTACCTTTCTAATATGATGGATGTGCCCTCTCTCCCACACCGCGGCAATCCCCAAGCTGGGGCTGGGAAGGAGCAGGGCGGGGGTGTCTCTCTCCCGCCACAGCAGCCACAGAGCTGAGGCTGGGAAGGAGGGCCATCTCTTTCTGGCCGCCACAGCCCTAGACCTGGGGAAAGTCACCTCTTTCTCTGGCCGCCGCAGCCCTGCTCATCCCAAATTCCACCCCACTCCCTCTTCTCAACCCACTGCCCCCTACTCCTCCTAAGGTCACCAGCTCACCTTACATGTGCATCTTCTCCAGGGTCCAGGCACCTAATTAGAGGAGCCACGCCTGCATGGTTCCACTAATTAGGTGGGTGGCCCTTCATTCTTTCATGTGCAGCCACCCAGGCGCGCACCTTAGAGGGAGCTAACCACGGACCACCTGAATGGAGCTCGTGGACCATGGTGGTCCATGGACGACAGTTTGAGAACCTCTACTATACACTAAAAGAAAAGGAGGACTTATGGCACCTTAGAGACTAACAAATTTATTTGAGCATAAGCTTTTGTGAGCTACAGCTCACTTCTTCGGATGCATTCAATGGAAAATACAGTGGGGAGATTTATATACACAGAGAACATGAAACAATGGGTGTTATCATACACACTGTAACGAGAGTGATCAGGCAAGGTGAGCTATTACCAGCAAGACAAGGGGAGGGGGGGAACCTTTTGTAGTGATAATCAAGGTGGACACTTTCCAGCAGTTGACAAGAACATCTGAGGAACAGTGGGGGGGAGGTGGGGGAGGGAGGAATAAATATGGGGAAATAGTTTTACTTTCTGTAATGACCCATCCACTCCCAGTCTTTATTCAAGCCTAAGTTAATTGTATCCAGTTTGCAAATTAATTCCAATTCAGCAGTCTCTCGTTGGAGTCTGTTTTTGAAGTTTTTTGTTGTTGAAGAATTGCCACTTTTAGATGTGTAATCGAGTGACCAAAGAGATTGAAGTGTTCTCCAACTGGTTTTTGAATGTGTTAATTCTTGATGTCCTCCTCTTCTTTTTGCGGATACAGACTAACACAGCTGCTACTCTGAAATCTACTATACACTGTATACATTTGAGATGGGGTGATCCAGATCAGAAATTGTTAGAAGGTGTACCAGAGAGTCTTGCTAGGAGAAGGATGTGTATTAGCTTTTCTCCAGCTCCTACTGTTTGAGGGGAATGGATCATCATTCATGGGGACCCTGTCTGTACCCAACCCAAGCTGGGGAAGCTAATGATCCAACAAGCGGACCAAATTCGGTGATGAATCCTGGTCACATTCCACCTGAGGCACGTTGCGCATACACTAAGGCTTGCTCTACACTGGGGGGCATCGATCTAAGTTACGCAAATTCAGCGACATGAATAATGTAGTTGAAGTCAACGTACTTAGATCTACTTACCGCGTGTCTTCACTGCGGTGAGTCGACTGCTGCCGTTCCCCTGTCGACTCTGCCTGTGCCTCTCGCGGCGCTGGAGTACAGGAGTCGATGGGAGAACACTCAGGGGTCAATCGCTGCCCACCGATCCGGCGGGTAGTATAGACATACCCTAAAACAAAGACTGTTTGTTTATAGCTCTTTTAATAGCTGCAGAGATAAGCTTCTCAGCAAACATCCAATAAACTGGGACAATAACTTTAAAATGTCAAAGGAGAAACTAGCCACACTGAACAGCAGTCTATTGATTCAGTCAGACCATCAGCAAATATAGCTGCATTGGTCGGCCTTGGCGCCTGCTCCAGCTCCCCAGCAGGAGCTCGAGGGCTGGATTAAAACATCTGAAGGGCCGGATGCGGCCCCCGGGCTGTAGTTTTCCCACCCCTGCACTAGACTATGTTGCGTCTCATTATTAAATTATCATTGCTGTGGTCAGAAGTCACACTGAGTGCTCAACGGAGGGAGCTAGTAGTGGTCCTAGAACCATCAGTACAGCTTCCCCACATCTGTGAACCAATTTGTGGTCTCCCAATGATACCTGTAGCCACAGGGGCAGATCCTCAGCTGGTGTAAACTGTCATAGCTCCACTGAAGTCAATGAGGCTGAGGTCAATGAACATCTTGACCCATGGTTTTTCAAAACCCCCAAACCCAACTCAGGGTGGCTATGAAAAGACTATAAATAACTTGTGGATCTTTAGGAAAATCAATATCAAGCTTTCAACCCTAGCAATCAGTCTACAGTGGTTTGCATCTGTTATACTGTCAAGGCTATCTTCAGAAGGAAAGGGACTATAAGCTTACTTTTGCTTAGTTAAAGTTGAGATTCTCCTTTTCTAAGGCCCTCCCGATTAGGGGGCCCACAGTGGCAAGCATGTGGTTTTACAAAGGTGGTTTTACACTGTATAAATGTGTATTAATAATAATAACAATTAATAATAGAGTGCAGGAGAAAAGAAAACCTCATATTGTATCTTTGTTACCAAATACAAGAGCAAAGAGTCACTCTATGCAACTAATTAGCATCATATGCTTTTTACAGAATGCATAAGTAACCTGGGGAACTCTCTGCTGCAATATATCACTGAAGCAAAGGGCTTGGTAAGATTGTAAAAAGAAT